GTTATGCTGATCAAGTAACAGTAATATTATAGAAATGGGTGCATATGCAACATACGTAGGTGCTGATCATGGCTAGAATGAACCACTGGTCTTCAAACATGGAGTGGTTAACAGTCATCATTACATTCACAGTTTACGCTCTGGCGAATTGTCTTACACTAGGATTTTATGGTTATGCAATATAAATATATATTGTACCTTCACGAAAGAAACTTTCATATTATGTACACTCGTTAGATCAGCTTTTTCCATGGTTTTTTTTGCCGTGAATGAAAACAATTATGCTAAATGGATTCCTGTACATTCAAGATATGTTGGCCCTCCAACTGAAACATCCTGGTGTTTATCACCAGTTCCATCGGAGGAATTTTGTCGTTCAAAAATCAAAGCATTTGTTGTCATTGATAGCTCTGGATCACAATCACAAGGATCAGAATGAGATGATTCAGGATGAGGATGGAGTTGATGGATGATATCATGTCCAGTGATAGCACAAGTGGCAACAGAGTCTGATGCTACCTTCTTCAAGACCAACATAAAGAATATATTCCATCATGAATAATTTCATGATGTTCAATATTCTCTTGCTAAGGATGTCAAAGCACTTGTTACATACAGCCTTTGAGGAAATGGGAAACCCTTTCTTAGAGTATAACACAGATCTGCTGGTTTTGGACAACAAAAATATCATGCCAGAAAATCACAGCATGATAAGTATGTCTAAAATATTCTGAAGAACTGTTCTGAACCAAAACAGAATTACTGCAATCCGTACATATGTATGTATGTATGTATGTATGTGTGTGTGTGTGCGCGCGCGCGCGCGTGTGTGCGTATCATGCCAGTCCAGAGACGGGAACTTGGAGGAATTCTTCAAACCCCAGAATCAAGCATGTCCACCTTCTACATCTTCAGGAGCGTAACTTCGCATAGGTCAAAATTCGATCTCCTCCATTGCCTTGAGAAGGAAACACAAGCACACACACCTGTGATTTATGTAAAGACATTAGATGGAACCGTTCTTGTCAACATGATGCCTCCTGAAAAGAACAAGACATTTGAGGATTATGCCAGAAATGTTTTCATTGATTATGTTGTATCACAAGTACAATCTGTTCAACGCCTCGATGTTGTATGCAACAGATAATCTCCCAACAGTATGAAGCAAAACACGAGAGAAATACACAGACGTGGTATACTTCGACGGCTATGGAACACTTCCTGAAACTGGCAGAGCTTCCTATGAAAGGATGACAACAAAACAGAACTGATTGCATTGTTGGCGAAGCATGTGGAAGCATTGGTGCTGAAAGATAAGCAACTTATAAGTACCTTCAACAAAACCGTCATCAGTGCAACTGCTCTTAACAAGAATTGACTTGCACCATGTAATCATGAAGAAAGCGACAAAAAGGCCTTACTTCACGTCGGTAGAAAAGAATATTACCAAGTGATGATAAGAACAGTTGACACTGATGTCGTCATTCTTTATACCTCAAGCATGACAAAACCCAAGTGATGATAAGAACAGTTGACACAGATGTCGTCATTCTTTATACCTCAAGCATGACAAAACCCAAGTGATGATAAGAACAGGTGACACGGATGTCGTCATTCTTTATACCTCAAGCATGACAAAACCCAAGTGATGATAAGAACAGTTGACACGGATGTCGTCATTCTTCATACCTCAAGCATGACAAAACCCAAGTGATGATAAGAACAGTTGACACAGATGTCGTCATTCTTTATACCTCAAGCATGACAAAACCCAAGTGATGATAAGAACAGTTGACACAGATGTCGTCATTCTTTATACCTCAAACATGAAAAAACCCAAGTGATGATAAGAACAGTTGACACAGATGTCGTCATTCTTTATACCTCAAGCATGACAAAATCCAATATTCAAGAACTGTAGGTTGCCTTTGGAGTTAGAAAGCATTTCAAATACATATTTGTACATACGACTTCCAAAGGTTTGAACCCCAACATTTTCATTGTGTTTTCCTTTTTCTATGCCATTAGTGGATGTGACACTTCTTCATGCCAGCACTGGACGTGGCATTGTATCACCCTTCTTTGATTCTATCACTGGATGCGACACTGTATCAGCCTTCTTTGACTCCATCACTGGATGCGAAACTGTGTCAGCCTTCTGTGAACGTTGCAAGAAATCAACGTAGGACACATGGAAATCAAATCTAGCTGTTACACCTGTGTTCACTGAATTATCAATAAATCCACAAGTCATCTCAGAAAAGGAACTTCTGGAAATTTAACATTTTGTTGTACTTATGTAAACCATACAAGTTTATCAAGCAGAGTCATTGAAGCACATCAAACTCTTTTTGCTTAAAGTTCTAGAACCATCGAAAACATGGCTGCACTTCCTGAACGTATCAAAAGAATGACCCTCCAAGCAGGTTTCATCTGGGGATAAGCCTTAGTACACAGTCCAACTTCGTTCAGCCCAGCTGATTAGGGATGGAATTTGAAGATGGCAGATGGACACTTGTGTGAACAACCTTACCTGAGGCTTCAAGGTCATATCGTGAGCTGATTCACTGTGGACATCGTAAAGCCTGCAGGGGCTTAGGTAAGTGCAATAAGGTGAACCTTCAATGTACAGCAATGTTATTGTAATGCGAACTGTCATAGAGAGTAAATAAGTTATGTCACCAGATACTCTAATTAAGACATTTCTTGTGTGTAGACACGTATTGTTCAATCAGATTATGAACGTGTGTGAGAGTGTACAGAGATACGTATCTTTACAACAATTTCATGCAAAAAGCCTGCATAAATTATGCTTTATTTGTTTTATTCCTATGAATAATTTTAGTTTTGTATATCCTGCAAAAGCAGTTTACTTATAATTTAAAGTTTAGCATAGCATGTTGAAAAAAAAAGGTCATAATTGATACTGTGTTAACAGGATTTCCTTTTTTAAGATCTTCCAAAAGAGGTACCATATTTAAATTAGCAATAATAATTTTGGAAGCAATATCTTAAGTGAGTTTTTTACGTGATTATACTTATAATAAAAGTATATTATGTCAAATTTCATGCTACTATAAATCCTCAGCTTTTCTACTTGACTAGCATAAAATCTTAGTAATCCATTACTAAACAATGGGAACCTACTAAACAACGTTTAGAATCATAGTAATATGATATTAAACGATGCATAAAACCCTACTAATCAGTGCATACAATCCTGTTAATCTAAACTAAACAATGCACACAATCCCAGCATTTCATACTTAAAAAAGCTCGTACAATCTCAGTAATCTTCTACTTATCAGCACTAACAATTCTAGTAGTCCTCTATTAAACAACACCCATTGAACAGGCCATCAAGATCACACCTAGATCTACGTCTAAAATATTTTTCAAACTGACCACCAAGATGACACCTATAGTAATTTACGCCTACTACTCCATTCGAACTGACCACCAAGATCACGTCAATAGTAATATATGCCTACTACTCCATTCGAACTGACCACCAAGATCACGTCTATAGTAATATACGCCTACTACTCCATTCGAACTGACCACCAAGATCACGTCTATAGTAATATACGACTACTACTACCTTCGAACTGACCACCAAGGTCACGTCTATGGTAATATACGCCTACTACTCCATTCGAACTGACCACCAAGATCACGTCTATAGTAATATATGACTACTACTCCATTCAAACTGACCACCAAGATCATCTCTATAGTAATATACGACTACTACTACCTTCGAACTGACCACCAAGATCACGTCTATGGTAATATACGCCTACTACTCCATTCGAAGGCGTATATTACCATAGACGTGATCTTGGTGGTCAGTTTGAATGGAGTAGTAGTCGTATATTACTATAGACGTGATCATGGTGGTCAGTTTGAATGGAGTAGTAGGTGTATATTACTGTAGACGTAATCTTGGTGGTTAGTTCGAATGGAGTAGTAGTCGTATATTACCATAGACGTGATCTTGATGGTCAGTTCGAATGGAGTAGTAGGCGTATATTACTATAGACGTGATCATGGTGGTCAGTTCGAATGGAGTAGGAGGCATATATTACTATAGACGTAATCTTGGTGGTTAGTTTGAATGGAGTAGTAGTCGTATATTACTATAGACGTGATCTTGGTGGTCAGTTCGAATGGAGTAGTAGGCGTATATTACCATAGACGTGATTTTGGTGGTCAGTTCGAATGGAGTAGTAGTCGTATATTACCATAGACGTGATCTTGGTGGTCAGCGTATATTACTATAGACGTGATCTTGGTGGTCAGTTTGAATGGAGTAGTAGTCGTATATTACCATAGACGTGATCTTGGTGGTCAGTTCGAATGGAGTAGTAACTACTACTCCATTCAAACTGACCACCAAGATCATCTCTATAGTAATATACGACTACTACTCCATTCAAACTGACCACCAAGATCGCGTCTATAGTAATATACGACTACTACTCTATTCAAACTGACCACCAAGATTACATCTATTATTATATATTTCTACATGTGTCTTCAAACGGACCGTTTTGGTCACATTTATAAACATACTAATTCAAGAGTAAACCTCTCTGTGTGCTAAACACGTAACATATTAGGTTTGTTCATTGTGACAATAATATAGGTATACGTTTCTCTATATTTCAGTGATATATTATTTTAGTAGTGGGAATGCTGAGAAAAAATCCAGATACTTTTATCGTGGGCCAAAGAAAAACTGGAAAATACTTCAAAGTGAACAAGTTTTTCGTTTTCCAATTGTTCTAGCAAGACAAGTTTCGACTTTGGTACACCTGGTTACAAGTTTCAAGCATTTATACCTTCTGAAAGTAACTACTAAAACCAACCATACCTGCTACAATTATTACACTATCAATACTTGCTACATGTATGACAGTCATTGTAATCTGCTACACCCATTACAAATATGGCAATCATTATAACTACCCGCGATTTGTTTGACATTTAAAGGATATTTCCACTCTACGAAGTCGATACACACTTTCCGTAATGGATTTTTCAAGGATAAACACATTAGTGCCCGGACTGGCCGCTCGACAATTTTGGGCCCCTTGCGAACAGGTCTTTTCCTTTCACGATCCATGCTGGAAGCAGCACCTAGTGCAGTATGCCAGGCACTGGACAAAGGTTTGGCGTCACTTCCACGGCTTCTCAAACTACTGGTGTCAAGGCTAGTGCCAGGGTGCAAATGTCCGGTATTGTCTGAAAGACCGGTTTTAGTGTTTTTATTCTTTTGGTTGTCAGCTGTTGGAACGAGTAAATGTTGGTTCTCACGATCCGGTATTCTCTCACCAGGATGTTGTTGTTTTGGGGCCAATGGCCCTTGACCATGATGTTCGCCTGAAATAGTAAAAATGTTCGTGAAATTTAACTTCCAACAATATCCACATATGCATGTGTATTGGCTAACACATGTACAATGCAGTAGATTGAAACCTCAGTTTTTGGTTTATTCTCATAGAAAATTTGATTTAAACGTTACCATTTTGAATCATGAGTAAACTTAAACGTCGGGGAGATAAGAAACTCGGAATAACTGTGGGATTGAGCACACTTTTTGTTGTATTCTAAGAATTGTTTCATTCCTCTCTCTATTTACACCTAAGTTTGAATCTCTATAATACCTTTATTATCTACATATTTTACTTCCTTATTTATAACCATAAATTTATCCATCAAAAAGAAAGAAACCACATCTCATGAGTTTTACAAATTGTCCCACTTTTCACCTTCCGTGATATATCCTCAACACATACACAAAACTTACAGCTTTTAACAATGAGCACATAAAGGTACTAACTACACATAAAATCAAAGCTTCTGCCCGACACCCTAGTGGCATTTTTAGCATTTTTTATTTAGGAGGGGTATAAGGAAGGTGTAGGATTAGTTTGGAGTGACAGAAAAACACTTTCATGTCAGTGGGATTCACAATGTAGAGTTTTAAACATTTTAAGGGACTATATCTTAGATGGAGTGGTTGTTCAGGGAAGAGATCTCCAATGGGAATCTACTGCCCTCACACGTTTGTACATATGCGGATTTGTATACAACTTCGTGTAACAGATATGAACGGTGAGCAATGAAATCAGTAAACCTACAAATAGTTGTAAAAAAGCACATTAAAATGTAGATGCTACTTTCCACATTCCTCTTAATCAATCTATTATGGATTTCAAACTAGAGGAGTGTAAAAATAGTACTTAAACTTTTTTTTAATATTTCGTCTGTGACGTTTCAGTGCCAGGAGACATTTCGACAATACTATAACTTTACCTTCTATGTCTAGCCTAGCTGATAAGCAATGTGAAAAAAGAAACTGTTGCATAATATAATTTTTATCATTGTTATTAGGATTACAAATATACGAAATTCCACATCTTCTACAAACCAAATTACGTAAATTTATACAGAACACCATAGCTTCATTATACCACGACCATATGAAGAATGGCATAGCTTCATTATACCATGACCATATGAAGAATGGCATAGTTTCATTATACCATGACCATATGAAGAATGGCATAGCTTCATTATACCATGACCATATGAAGAACACCATAGCTTCATTATACCATGACCATATGAAGAATGACATAGCTTCATTATACCATGACCATATGAAGAATGGCATAGCTTCATTATACCATGACCATATGAAGAATGGCATAGCTTCATTATACCATGACAATATGAAGAATGGTATAGTTTCATTATACCATGACCATATGAAGAACACCATAGCTTCATTATACCACGACTATATGAAGAATGGCATAGCTTCATTATACCACGACCATATGAAAAATGGCATAGCTTTGTTATACCACGACCATATGAAGAACACCATAGCTTTGTTATACCACGACCATATGAAGAACATCATAGCTTTGTTATACCACGACCATATGAAGAACACCATAGCTTCATTATACCATGACCATATGAAGAACACCATAGCTTCATTATACCATGACCATATGAAGAATGACATAGCTTCATTATACCATGACCATATGAAGAATGGCATAGCTTCATTATACCATGACCATATGAAGAATGGTATAGTTTCATTATACCACGACCATATGAAGAATGGTATAGTTTCATTATACCACGACCATATGAAGAATGGTATAGTTTCATTATACCACGACC